ATAAATGAAAAACGATAAGTAATTAATAATTGGAGACCTGATTGTGGAAAAATAAATTTCTAAGAAAAAATCCCTTTTGTCAATAATGTAGTTTTCCGAAGCGGTCCAGAACATATCAAAAGTAAACTAATTTTCAAAAAATCATAATTAAGAGTGAAAATGAATCCTATGGCAGCTATGTAACTATATTTATCTCAATACTTACGAGATATTTAAAGAACAAATTGGAGTCATTATGAGAAAATTTAAAAATATCTTAGGGATTTCATGTGAAATACCCACCCCCCACAATAAATTAAAGTCATGATTTCAAAATCGCTCGGCTTTGAGTCAGACCAGATGCAGTGGGAAATATTCATTTTCGCAGAAAATTGCGAAAATTGAGCCAATATCGTTGTTCACAGATTACCGACTGACAGACCGACGTTCTGAAAAAACACACACACACATTCACATATCACAAATCAAATTTACGCAGCTGTGCAGCTGTACCGTAGAATCGAGTCGCCTATCGCCTTACCATTTCCGGTATACGGAGCATCTGACTGAGGAGAGACACTGGAATTCGGCCGCACCTTTCTCGCCTCTTCTTCGCGTGGGGCATCCCGCTCTTCCTTACCTTTTAACATCATCTTCCAACTCCTTTATTTTTAGAGTCATTTCCGCAATATATTTAAGAGCCTGCGCCAGATCAGCTTCTAATAATTCTATTCTCTGGTTGCTCCTATCTCACTTGGAACATGTCACCGCAGCAGCTTGTACAGCGGACCCAGGGTTTTGCTCCACTCCTATCACTATGAGAGTGACCGAAACAGCTGTTCAAAGTGACGTAACACTACCGCCTATCGAGCGAGAATATTCCGTGTGCGCCGAAACCGCCCAGCTGGAGCGACTGCGTTCAGCCTACGCGCGCCCGGTACAAAGCGAGGTTCACACCCACGGCCTTTCACTTCTCGCAGCCAAGAGAAAGGTGTTCGCACGCGACAACTACCTGTGAGCGACTGTTGTAAGACGTAAAATAAATAAGCACATTTCGAAAACATTTATTCCAAGACGCCGTAATATTCAGTTTATTAGTTTTGTATTTACAATAGAAGAAAAGAGCAGCATCAGCAGTTGAACTCGAAGCGCGTGATGTCGTGCACGAAGCAACACGACTTGCCGCGCTGCGGGCACGGGCACAGCAGGCGCCGCACGCAGATGGTCTTGGCGAGGTCGTAGGGCGTCTTGCCCTTGTCGTCCTCGGCCGTCTTGCTGGCGCCGGCCGCCAGGAGCGCGCGCACCGCCGCCTCGTTGCCGCACTCGGACGCGTAGTGCAAGGGCGTGCGGCCGCAGCGGTTGCGGCTGCCGTGGTCGGCGCCGGCCGATAGCAGCAGCAGCACGCACCGCCCGCTGTAGTCGTTGTCGGCGGCCACGTGCAGCGGCGTGAAGAAGTAGGCCGTCTTGGCGTTCACGTTGGCACCCCTGCGCACGCCCAACGCGTGTTAGATGGAGCGGGGCTTCTGGCCCGGGTCCGCCGCCTCAAGCCTTTCCGTTTTCACTAGACTAGAGCCGACGCGCCCGAGCGCCTGCCCCTTTTTTTAATGATTACTAACTAATTCCGTGAGCGTCAACTGCTAAGGTAATTACCCTCGTAAGCGTAGTGCATGCTTTTAACGCGGGCGGTAGTGGCGATCTATCCCAGCGGGCGGGCGAGATCCGGCACCGACATACACGTGTAGGGCAGGGGTTCATCAGACAGCCTATCTCTCACTAGCGAGGCATCGCCAGTCTAGGCAAGCTCTAAACTCCCGACAGGTCTTCTGACATGTGTGATAGTGTGAAGCACGTTAGTACGTATTAGTAAAGGGTGAGGATAAGATAAGGAGGAGGAAGGAGAGATCGCCCGCGGTCGGTGACCCGTTTGTTAGAATACTACTCTGACATTCACCTGAGTTGATCGGTCAAACCATGGAAAACAACCGATCAACGTAGCCGGCCGCTAGAATTATCTTCCGGGCAACTATCTAGCTAGTGTCGAAACGTCTGTCATCATCGGGACTCGAACGCGAAGGATCTTCTGGACAGAGACATCAATTAATGCCCTGAGTCACTTATGCGGCTCCTTCTCGCCGTGGTGACTTGCGGGCCACAGCGGCTGCCAGTTGTGGGAACGACAAGGAGGCCATAATTCCTTCTTTAGTTTTACGGAGCGTGAAATTCATATGTGATATGAACCCAATTTTCTGTCTATAAATGTGCACTAATCCCAAGGTCACATTATAGGTCAAAACGGAAAACGCTACTTTACTAGAATTAGGTAGTGTAATCACGTGACTTGTGTCGTGAGCTATACACATCATGTAGAAAGGAAGAAAGGAATTTATTCCCATCTGTGATGGCAGAGAGGAGATAACTGTAAATTCTCGAGGTCAAGATGATGTGGCATTACGGGAATTTTGCGACAGGAGCAGACTGCAACCACAGATGGGAAAAATTATATTTATCTCCTTTAGAATTATTTCCATTTAGAACTTTACGTTGTTCCAAAAGATAAAAGACCTCACACAATTAACGGCGTGTCTGACTTGTGACTGACGTTTTACTCCACAACCTGTACAGTCTCTAATATTGCAAAGGAGAGAGAAATGGATAGATGAATGGATGGAAGCGATTATTAATGACTTCGTGTTACCAAATTGACGTATTTCTTCTTTACTTGGAGTATCACTTAGGACATAAATATGCAACTTCGGATGACCAATGTAGCCAGTTAGCGCCCATTTCCCCAATCAGTCTCGCCGGGGGCTTGGCTGAAGAATCGTGTCATGTTTGCTTACAAAGCATGTTTGAGAGTTACAAAGAGTTCCTGAAAGATTAAGTCGCTTAGTGATGCCTCTGTGCTTTAATACTGACTTGTTTTTGTGTTGTTTTGTAATAGGTTTTTAACATAAATTAACTACTTTTCAAATTCCATAATTGAAGACACAAGTGATCAAAGAAACATCAAATTTCCTACGATAGATAAATGATTCTATAACCAGCTTCCATAGCTTTTGTTTCCAGGTAATTAAACGTCCACAACTCGAAAATGTGGTACACAGAAACTTGGTGTGAATGCATGTTCTGTGTATCGAAAAATAATCTCGAGGAATTTCTTACTTTTTCAGAAATACGCTCGTTTTGAGAAAACTAAGACAAAGACATGCAGGTGGTTTTAATTTTACGATGCTCGCCTAGAAAAGCAAAGTTTCATTCATCATAAAAATTAGAAATTTCCTTCTTGTGCAATAATAAAGAAATATGTTTCGGGAACTACTCTACAATTGCCATATTAAAGAACCATTTGAGAGTTCATGCTAGCAGGGTTGGATCCAACCGATCATGGAGGAGTGCGTCATAGTTTTTGTTTAAAAATTAACGTATTTGTTATTAAGCTTAAATTATTCATAGGATATATGATACTATATAATATTTCGTATAATTACATAATTCTACCATAAATAAATATTTAAATCAATTTTGCCAAATAAAAGAATGGTACAAACGAAAACTCTAGGCCCTTTCCCTTTCCAAGGACCATGGCTCCCCCCCCCCCGCGGACCAACCACTGCATTCTAGAAACTATCCGACGCCTCCCAAAACGTCTGGAAACATCAAAAACAATCTCACCATTGTTCATCGTCATTCAAATATCTATTTTAATGCCTCTTGAAGTGCGTGTTCTATTTGTGGGCCCCCTTGAATGTATTAGAGAAGAAACTCGAAGGGACAAGTTAAGACTAATAACTAGTAGGTGGGCAATCGGATACAAAGAAAAAAACTGGAAATTGAGAGAATAATTATACAAAATACTAGAGCATGCAGGGGTGTAAATGACGATCCTTTTTTTCTATAGAACATGTGATGGCAACTATCCTATAACGAAGTTCTATTTGTGACATTTAACCCAGGTCAGTAGGCAACCTATGGTACACAAGTGTTTTGCAGGTACTCTTTGGCCGCAGTCAAGGAGATTTCGTATTTTTGTTTACTCTAATGATAAACTATCGTTATGTTGCTAAAATATACAACTAGAACGAACAATTTCATGAAGCAAGTCATGAATACACCCTGGTCAGGAGCGTACAATGCTCCAGTGATCACGGCTGAATCGATATCTATCATGCAGGAACGCCCCCATTTCCTTGTACATTTCATTTAGAGTTACTCCAATTATTGGAGAAATAAAATTCGCAAATGATGGTGCAGAATACGACGCAGCAATGAAAAAGATCTGAGGTCGCCAATTGAGGACCATGGTATATAATGGGTTCGATAGTATAACGGGTACTAACCCACGTACCGGTGTACTTTTGCGGGTATCGGGATTTTGTACCAAACTTTGTGGGTTAAAACCCGCTCGAAGCCGTAGTTTTTAAGGGCGAAAAATCCTCGGACAGGAAGTAAAACCGCCTGCCCCATGATACAGGTTTACTGCATGAAAAATATCCTCAAGTGTAAAAGAAGCCTCTGAGCTAAATTCATATCACCTGTTTCTTTCTCCGCTAGGTAGCGAAAGGAGCATAGCGAAATTTGTGTGGTCAAGCGGAAGAACGTTCCTGATAGCCAGAGTCTCTCCACGTACCATAAAGCGTGAAATAACTATCTAGTGCCCGATGAGCTGCCTACAAATCATGGTCAATTGTCACATGTGTACCTTCGTTACATAACATTTGCTAGGCTGTCCGGGTGACGCCGCGTCCATGGCGAAGGTGCCGACTTTCCGGTCGCCATTCTGCGACCTTCCTCAGGGCGTAATGCGAGGAAGGTCGCAGAATGGCGACCGAAACGTCGGCACCTTCGCCATGGACGCGGCGTCACCCGGACAGCCTAGTAAATACTCACTCCAGCCGCGGAAGCCTACGCTCTCTCTTCGTTGTAAAACGTTTGCCATCGCATGTTCAATAAATAATCTTCGACGCCCCCTGCACGCCTTAGAAGATTGTAACGTTTATTCCGGAGCGCGACCTGTTGAGCAGCAGGGAGAGCACGGGCGCGTGGGCGCGGGCGGCGGCGCAGTGCAGCGGCGTCCAGCGGCCCTCGGCGGCGAAGTTGGCGTCCGCGCCCAGCTCCAGCAGCCGCCGCACGCGCCGCACCTGCCGGCCAGAGACCATCAGCAACCGCGCCGCGCCCGCACGGGCGCGTGCATGCTGCGACACAAGAACGAGACACATCAGATGATTCGGTACGTCAATGCTCTACAACGCACGGTATTACTCTGAGTCTAAAGCTTTTCGATTTTCCTATTTCTTCCTTCTTTTCTCCCCTTTCTTCTCTTCCTTCCCTTTCTTCTTCTCTTTTTCACTTTTTCCCACTTTCTCCCCTTCTTTTCCTTTTCTTTTCCTTTCTCCTTTCTTTTCTCTTGCTTTCTCTTTTGCTTCTTTTCCTCTTTAAGTGTAATAAACTAGTTGCTTCTTTTCTCTTTGTTATTCTTTTTCTTGTCTTCTCTTTTGTTTTCTTTCTTCTTCCTCTTTTCATTCTCTTCTTAACTTTCTTCTCCTTCTCATTCTTCTTCTCCTCTTACTTCTTCTATTTCTCCTCTTTCTTCTTTTTTCTTACCTTCTTCTTCTTCTCCTCCTAATTTCTTTCTCTTTTTCCTCTCTCTTCTTCTTCTGCTATCGTTCATCTTCTTTGTCCTCTTTTATATTTTCCCTCTTTTTCTTCTTCTCGGTGACCCAACTAATAACAAATGTGTAACGATCAAGATTGCACAAGTTGACAGCTTCGGCTTTTCATTTTGCATTGTAATTTTTGTTTGGGCTAGTTTTTTATCAGTTTAAGATGTTTCATTAGGTAAGATTTTTTAATCTATAAAACTTTAATTTTCAGTTACCATTTTACATATTCCACTATTAGGCGTCCTTTTGGTAATAAACTAGTTCAACTTGGGACTGTAACATATTCTTTCCCTTTTTACTAATCGCCTTTGCCAGCTACAGAAAGATGTCCTGTGAAACTCTTCAGTTCTTATCGTTTCATTTACCACACACACAGACGTTGATTTGAAAATACTTTTATGACCCAGCTTTAGAAAAAATATTGATTTTTAACACTAACCAGTTGAAAATGGAAAGAAATCGATTCGACTACCTTGAGTAGAAAGGTATTTTAGTGCGAAAACAATCACGGGGGGTTTTAATATTCATGTAAAATAATTGTAGTCTGAATCTCGAAAACGTATAATGCTAAACGTAACCGGTTTCTCAATAAAACAACTATAAGGCACTAGATGTCCCGAGCCATTATTATTATTATTATTATTATTATTATTATTATTATTATTATTAATTTGGTGTATGTCTATCTACTGTACTGACTGATCGTTCGCTTTTCACCGTTGAAACCGAGGTACTAATCTCAGTTGATCCATGTGGAATTAGTGAAAGGCAAAAGGTTCGCGTTTGGTTCATCGTCCAACTAAAAGTAAGCACGCGGTCTGCGTTGGGGCGTTGGTCCAACATAACAAATCCCCGACAAGGAATGGGAAACTCCGGTCAGATGCCGTCTCCCCAGTCGATGTGCCACTCCTATTGATTGTGATAAACAGCCATTGCAGTACTTCAAAATTCGTGCATGAAAACTAGTACTTACGTTCACTGCTTATTAATTGGAAAAATTACTCCAAGTAATCTGTTTTTGTGAAAATACTTCTTACGGTTTTGTCCCTAGCGGTGTTGATAGACGGAGAGAAAACCGTTTTCAATAAATCAATTTTTCGCTCCACAAAACCACGATTCTGAAATCACAGCAAATAAAGTTAGTTATTTATTACATACGAGAAATAATTCGATTTTTAGCGCTCAGGAATCCATAAAACGAGATTTCTTTGTCGAACTTAAGTTCTGTTTCGCTGGTTAGGCGAAACTGTTCTTAATTCGCTGGTTTCGCTGCAGCATTCGACAACTCTCTGTATTACAGGTACGTCGTGCTGGAGAACGTGTAGTGGCGATTAAGCCATAGCTACGTCCACCGCCAGTTTCGCCCTCGGCGACGTTACGTCACGGCGCGGCCCGGGAGCGCTGGAGTGGTGGAAGCCTGAAGGGCAGCTCCCCTCTTCCCCCCCAAACCCCATGTGACAGCAGCGGCAGAGGCCAGGCGGGCCCCGGCGCACTTCGAGACCGGCGTTCGTTTTGGGAAGAGAGGATTGTGTGCTATATATGAAATGTGTTTAGACCCGGCTGTACCCACGTGTTTCTCTTCCGGACTCTGGTGAAAACCCTTCTTCCTTTCGGTACACCTTCTGGCTATATGACTTGTAACGGAACGATTCCGGGACACTGAATGTAATAAATATATCTGACTCCGAGTGTTGGAGTTTCTCAGCCTTTCCCGGTTCCCGGAAAGTGAAAAGGAAAACGTAGTTTGTCGCACCTTTCCGCGCTGCACGGCCTTGAGCAGGCGCGGGCCGGCGTCGGGGCCGAGGGTGACGACGCACGTGCAGCGACACGCGGGCGAGCCCATGCTGCCGCCGCCGCCGCCACCGCACGCCGTGCACGAGAGCGAGCGCTGCGGCAGCATCGAGAGCGCCCCGCCCCCGAACGACGACGAAGACGCCGAGCACGCCACCTGCGCATGCACGCGCCCGGCTCACACTTTCTTTTTTTTTTCTTTTGGCCCCTCCACAGTAACCCTGTGAAGAAGGGGAATGTATTATATTTAAATGTTTATACAGTTTTGCTGCTGCCTTGCGGCTTAAGCAGCTAGAGGCGGGGCTTTTTATTACAACTAATTTTACATTCTAGACCTAAAATTAACTTACTTGCACTTTATGTTGGCTGGGCTATCCGGGACGAGCCGCGTCGATGTCATGGTGGCTAACGTTTCGGCCAGCGTATTGTGGCCTTCTTCAGAGCGTACTGCATGCGCGTCAGCAGCAATCAGAGCGTCAGCAGTACGCTCTGAAGAAGGCCACAATACGCTGGCCGAAACGTTAGCCACCATGACATCGACGCGGATCGTCCCGGATAGCCCAGCCAACATAAACTCCGGCCGCGGAAGCCTACGCAACCATTACTTGCACTTTGGCATTACTAACTTACACTAAAATCAGTTTTATAATACTATGTTATATATTCTACGTAAATTGTTATTGTATAGGTTGGTAATTTTTTTTCTACATTCACACATCATTCATACTAGTTTCATTATATACATAACCATTCATTCGCACCCGGTTTGGCTCGGCTTCACACACGCTTCAGACACTCAAGGCCCGCACCGCCCACCCTTCGGCCCCGCTTCAGACACGCTCCTCTTCCCTTTAGCCGCATTTTAAGACGCGATTTTGCCTCGCTGCAGAATGCTTCTGATTCGCGTCAGACACGGTTTGGCTCGGCTTCAGACACGCTTAAGCCGCCCTACAGACACGCTTCAGACACTCAAGGCCCGCACCGCCCATCCTTCTGCCTCGCTTCCCTTTGGCTCCATCTTCAGACGCGCTGTCGCCCCAAAGTACATACATACATACATACATACATACAAGTCCTTATCGTCAAACCTGTTTAAAGCTTAATTTCGTTTCTGCTTCCTATTGCAACCACGTCCAACATTACTTCGTCCCCGCCGGGGAAGTAGCTACCTGGTAGGCGGCCAGGGTGCAAGAGGTGGTCCTGGGGAGGGGAGGGCCGTCGCAGAAGCTGCCTCCTCCCCCTCCTCTTGCCCCGCCCGCCGCGCAGCAGAAGCCCCCGCCGGGCGCCGCGAAGTCGTCCTTGCCGCAGGAGAAGAATGCGTCCGGTTGGGGCTGCTGCTGCAGGCCGTAGGAGCCGCACTCGAGGTGGTTCATGCGGCGGTCCAGCCTGCACACGGTGCGCCCCTGCGCTTTGAGCCTCTGCGCCATGCAGCACACGGTGTCGTTGGTGCGCTCCATCTTCTGGTTCATGGCCCACATGGCCTCCTGCATCTGCGACACGGACTGGGCGATGCAGCGGAACGCGCCGCCCAGCGCCTCGGCCATCGCTGCAACCCACACGCGCGCGCGCTTAGCTGCGCAGCTGGCTCTCGACCGCTCACTGGCCGCAACTGCTAAGGTCCTTAGTCAACTGCTAAGGTCATTAGTCACCGTCGGCTAGCTGGGTTTTCCCGATTAGGTATCTCCCACGAGCAGCGTCACCGCTCCAGACGGGACGTTCTAACCTCCAACGGGTCTCCCGGAATGTGTGGCAGTGTGCGAAGTAAGGGGAGAAGGCAGGACAAGGAAGGGGAAGGAAAGATCGTGCGCGGTCCGTGGCCCTGTTTTTAAGGTTCTACTCCGGCTTTCGCCTGGTGTTGGTCGGAGAAACCATGGAAAACTACCGATCAGAGCAGCCGGCCGCTAGAATTCTCCTCCAGACTCTGATTGAATTGGACAATATTATTATTAAGCTAGGGTCGAAAAATCTGTCCCTGTCAGGACTCGAACCTAGAACCTCCAGGCCGGGGACACTCAGTGCTATCAATTGATGCCCTAAGCCACCCTTTCCTGTCTGTTTCTCAATTTCGTATTGAGACCAAATATTTTCAAAATTCGGCCAAACCCTTTCAAGGACATTCAGAAGCATATTAAAATGGAGAAAAAACTTTAAAATTGAAACCAAACAAAGACCATATGCATTCGAAACCACGACACTTTACTACCAAAATCAATCCCAATTAATTTGTGACCAAACGCTTTAAAATTAAGACCATGCACATTCAAACTGAGACACATCACATTCAAACTACGACCATAATAAAATTTAAATCACGCATTTTAAATTGAAAATATTCAAGGATAATTAGTATATGATGTAAATGAGTGTTTTTGATACTTACTTGTTTTAAACTTTTGAATATTTATTGGTTAACACAAAATAATTAAAAAACGAAAGAAAATTCAAACTTCTCCGTCTTGACCTTTTCCTCCTCCCCCTTCTCATCATCCCCCTTCTTCTTCTCCTCGTCCTCCTGCTTATCCTCCCTTTTTCCTTCTGATCCTCCTGTTTTTCCTGTTTTTCTTCTCCTTCTTTTCTCTTTTCTTCATTTTACTCTCCCCCCTCTTTCTACTCATTCTGTTGGTCTTTATACTTCCCACCATTGTTCTTCTCCCAATTTAAATGTACTTGATCTGAACTTGATTGTGCTATGTCACCAATTTGTGTGCGGTGTGTGTGTGTGTGTGTGTGTGTGTGTGTGTGTGAATTTATGTAATGTATGAAATAACTACTAAAAAGATTTATAATAAGTTAAACAAAAACCCAGCCAATAACAACTTTGTACCATTTTAATTACATAATAAAGAAATAATAAACTTCTTTATCAGTCATTTTAGTTTAATATTTACGTGAGCTCCACGCTCATCTTCCACATATTGCGCGAGTGTCCTCGACGAACCATGCGTTAATTTTGGAATAATCTTCTGCAAATGTAGTTTATATTCGTATGGCGTCTGTACATTTACCGATAATATACACCCTAGGAAAGATAATAATATCTAAATTTTCGTATTCTTGTGAACTTTTCTCTTTCGATTGGAGTGATTACTCACATATGATAGGTATAGGTCCTTATGAGTCCCCTGTGAAATTGTGATAAAATGATTTTTGCAATACGCTATTGGATTAGGTATTGGCTTCAAAACTCCGCATGTTATTGTGTTGTCTTTGTGTCAATGTTATCAGATTAGTTCTGATCTTACGAAGCTTCTTTAAAAATGATCATGAATATAACTTACTTTGAATGTAGAATCAGGTGGTCCAACGAAGTGCTGATTTTATTGTCCAGGTAGTATCCAAGTCGCAAAGTACATCTTCATTTAAATACATTGCTCACGTTCCTTTATGTCCACTGGCGAGTTGAAGTGCGTGTAGTAGTGATCTTCGTAAATTAACCATTCTTGTAACGGAGATTCTTTGTAACACTTGGTGTAACATTAATTCTCTGGCACATGATACATCTGTTTTGAAATGCCTACTTTGCGAAACAAGCAAAACTTTCATTTCGTGAAATGGGCACGGTGGATGCCGATTTCACGAAAGAAGCATGCAAATGTTTATTTCGTGTAATATGCATGGTCATCTCTTCTTTTAGGAATGAATGTGGAACATGTTCATTTTGCAAAAAGGGCATGGTTATTGCCCATTTTAAGAAGAAAATAATTTCATGGCAGAATTCATTAATGAACGAAACGAAATAACCTAAACTTATAAACTGGATATACGTACTACATATTACGGAAATTACAATTTTCTACAATGTATAAAGTCACGGCCCACTTAAGTTTTTACACCTATTTGCACCAAAGTATCCATTATATATTAATGAAGTTTACATTTTACAATGATTTTTTTAATATTCTTAGATTAGTATTCTGATATAATTTTTTATATATGATCATAAATAATTTTTCAATAGTACTCATGTCTACCTGGGTTTCATATGGAGATTTTAAATGTCTGTAAAAACAACCCCTGGTTTTATTATGGTAATGAATGTATTCGAATTTTACAAACACGAATGGAAAATACTTCCAATGTGTTCTTCCTCTTGTAACATTCGAATTCGTCAAGACTTCTGTGATTTGACAGAGAAATTTCACAGTCAAATTAATACATTTTATATAAATTTTTTTACAACATCCATTTTAGCGCATCAGCAAACATCCTAGAATCTAGAACTTTTATACCTTCGTGCTGTCAATAGAGAAAAAGTTCTGCAATGCTGCGCCAAAAAAACGTGAATTTTCGGTAAACAAACTCTTATTACAGGGCTCTCTTAATGGAAAAAAGTGGATAAATCCAATTACTAAATTTAGAAAAACTTCTTCTAGCACGTGGTGTAGCCAGAATATATGTTTTGTGGCTTCTTGACACCGAAAAATCGAATGACGGCAAAACGTCTGTCTGTCGTCAGTCTCTCCGTCCGCAGCAATACCGTTCAGCCTATTTTCTCCAAAATTTATATTCCCCAATCGATCCGACTGATGTCGCGGCCCTTTGTATTAGAAAACGTTTTTTTATTTTGTGGAAACTTAACGTGATGTACTTGTGAGATTTTCAAAATTTTCAAAAAATGGCTTTATTTTTAAATTTAAATTTAATTTTAAATTTAAAAACTTGTTTTAGAAAGGAAAACCGGATTTAAAGAAAAGGAAATATATTAAAGATGTTATTTAAGATAGTTGTCGAGTTCATTTATTAACCTTTAAAAATTAAACGATCGTATTGATCGAGAAGTGGAATTTACGCTCGTTTTCCGGAGCTCCGGAATTTTTACTCTCTTCCCTTACCTATGTTAATTTATAAATTAAATAATGATAATTGTACAAAGTAGAGTTGTTGATAACATTTGATAATGAGAAATATTTGCTCGCGTGTAATCTGTATTTCTAATTTCCATAGCGCGCCGTAATTGAAAGAAAACTAAGCCTCCTACGGCTAAGTGAGAAGTGTCTGAGTTCTGAAAGTAGACAGAAACGAGGATAAATGTCAAAAGTCAAGAAAAAGTATCGATTTTAATAACCCTCAAGACCGAAGATTACTGCAAGTTGAAATGTTCGTGGATGATCCTTACCTTCTACAACGTGTCTATGAGAAAGACATCACTTTCATAAACTGGAAGCACCACAAAGAAATGTCTTGTAAGATAGTCGAAAAATATTATTTGCAAATATGGTGAGAGACAAATCTTTTTCATTAAAATTGTAACTTTACGAGCTGCCGCGAATTTGATGTAGTATGTCTATCAATAAATTCGCGGACCCAGCGGTGTCACGGCGGCCGTTGGAAGTCGTGGATACCCGGCCCCGCGTCCCTTCAGAGCTCTGTTGAGGTGAGAGTCATTTATGGGCCCCTTCCCACGTCGCGACGGCGGTGCGCTTCCGAGCAGCGCGGCGCGTAGCAGAGCATTTGTTTGAATGGAGACCTTCCCACGTGCAGCAGGCCGGCGCTGCTGCGGCAAGCAGCGGAGAACTCGCTACGCGGAGCGGAGGACGTACGCACCACCGCTGGCAGAACACAGCTTTAAATGGTAGCCTTCCCACTGTGCCGCCGGTCGCTGCGGTTTACCTGCTGCGGTGCCTTGTTCGTCGTCGCCGGAGGGTCGGCGAAACATACCCCTGCAGAACCCACCCCCTTCCACGGCGGGCGGCGGTGCAGCCGTGGCTGCGGCGGCGGCGGCGTCGGAAGGGCTCTGCTGCTTGAATGAAACGCGGCGCCGTGGCGACATGGGAAGGCCCCCTATTACAGGACGCCCAGGCGTCGTTTGAATATACGGAACGTTTGACGGCAACCGCGTCCTGCTGAGCGCTCAAGACGGTGACTCTCACGTGACCGCATGGCAAAAAGACCCGGCGTCAATTACACCCAATTGGGGAGACACATATACGACACAACAAGCTTCGCGTGCGGCTTCGCAATTGGGTCCACACCGACTTTTTTCGCCGGCCGCGAGAGAAAGCGTGGCAAACGACAAATTTTTGGCTGTGAGGAAGGATCCCGCGTCATTAGTCGAAGCTCCTCCCCACCGTGCTCCGCGAAATTCAATCTCGCCCAATAGGAAGGATTCTATTCTGGTTCATGGCCCACATAGCCCCGAGCCTTCATGATTCGGGAGAACAGCTCTCACAAGACTTGCTTTAAAAATCTTGCAGAGGGAAGTCGGGCCCTGAGAGACTTGCTTTAGAAAATATAGGAATAGGTGTTGTGGTGAGTTATCGTTGGCATTTCAGTGTAAGTCAGTCAACGTAAGTCAGTGTAAGTATGTCAATGTAAGTAGTAGTCGGAAGTAAGCAGCCGCGAATCAGTTAGTGTATGTAATCCGTGAATAAGCTGTTAGTCCGTCAGTGTGTCCGAAGTGGAAGCTGTGCTGTGCAGGGTGCATCGCGGTAAAAAGCAGTGCAGTGAAGCCTGGTCTGCGCATTGAATTTTGGTCTGGGCAGGGTATTTTGGTCTGCGCAGGGAATAGTGGTCAGCGCAGTGAACCTCGGACAGTGCATCGGACTATGCGATAGTGTAGAAGAAGTGAACTGTGTAAATAAATAATCAAGAGAACGGAGTCGTGTGTAAATAATCAAGTATAGAACACAAGAACTGTGTAATATATGCATAAACAGATCAAGTAGTTTTAGTGTATTATTGTTACGTATAAACGGTTTTGTTTAAATACCTGTGTGTGTAGGTTTTCATACACCACCGAGAAACGTTACAATATATAAAGGACAGAGGAATCTGACATCAATAAATCACAAAGTTCAGAATTGCAAACAGATTTCAGATTGCTTCGCACAAAGTCGGAGGCATTCTCATAATAATATCCAAATAATTTACAGACTTTCAAATCGGCTATGCCCACATAGTTCAGATTCAATCAATGATTCTATTATTAAATAATGATATTTTAAAATCGTTTCATGAGGAAAATTCATTTAACATGGCCTTTTTAAAGAACGTGTTTTGTACAACGGACATTGAGAAAAAATCTCCGTCTTTAATTTTGTAGTTTAAAATGTTTTTTTGCAATTTTAAAAAAATGGAGGGTTTCACCGAAAATACGATCTGCACCACTCTCTTAAATGTCCTTGGCACTATTCATGAACAATATTTTATCAAAAATTTCAGCCATTTTTTGAAAATGTTCGAGGATTTCCATTTAAAGTACCCCCAAAATTAAAAAATCGGTTTGAAATTCCTGGAGCTGCGTCATCAGATAGAACGATTGGGGAATATCAATTTTGGAGAAAATCGGCAGAACGGCTTAGGCACTAGACAAAGACAAAGTTTGTATGACCTTTTCACAAATAAAATTCACTTTACGTAGCTTACAAGAAAATAAAGAAAATAAAGCATCTATTAATGGCAAAGCAACTTTAATTTCACTATTATTAAACTCTTCCCCAAAGGATTTCGCTTAATATTAACAACCATTAACAGTGAATTAGTGCGTAACTATTAAGACATATTGTAGTGAGCAAAACTCAAATGTTAGTAAAACGGCTTTTATTACAATTTTTCACTTTACAAAATCGTACACTGACAAAACGACTATTCAGAAGACGTGTCAAAAATTTGCTGGTTTACCTTCAGTCGACAAGAATTCCAGACAATACTGACCACGTGCTGTGTGCACAGCTGATTTGAAGTTGGTGGACGCGCACTAGAGGGAGCACGCTCTATATTAAAGTATACAGAGCAGCCAGGCAGTATCCGATCTACCAGATAGCTAGCCCCCCGAGCGAGTCTCTGCCAGTTGCGGCGACGGGTATGTAACGGGCGGTTTGCGCTCGGTAGAGCAGAATTATTTATGACTGAGACCGAGTGCGATTCGGATTTTGTGATAGCAATCGCCACGCCGACCGTGACAATGCTCCATTTATTCCATTATATTATTATGAATTAGGTTACGAACTGGTGTATATTCTGGAAATAAACCGAACGGCTAAGAACTTGGTACTTTCTTTTGTGGCAAGTGGGTATATAAGGCCAATTCGCATGATTTATGTCCCAGCAATGTCAGTGAAACCAAGATTTCGAGTTATACAAACGTTAAAGGAGATGGGTTATTTTACGAATAAACTAGAAAGAGTAGAGATGAAACAAATTATGATTCGTAATAGCATTTTTATACAATGAAAAAAATGTTTATATTTCTTGAGTGAAGTTATTGTTTTCTTGCTCTAACTCGATTGATAAAAAACTTCACGCAATGAGTATAAAAAATAACTATTGAGATATTCAGTTCAGTCCAGTGAGGTAAAACATAACACAAAAATCGTCCTCTTAGACACATTTAATAACAAATAACAATCTAATTTTCACAGTAACCACACGATCAATCTAGAACTTGCTAGTAATAACAAATTAAAGAGAAAATTAAAAAAAAACTTTTATTAAAAAAACAAATATCATGTGCAACTGAGTTCTTGAAATTATGAAGCAAATAACCAGCTACTTTTAATGAAGGCAGAATACAACAAAGCTTGAGAGGAAATGGGAGGGGATGTCAGAAAACGAGCAGGCGGCGGATGTAGTCAGCGCGGGCCACGTCCAGGGGTGTCCAGCCCTCGTCGTCGCGCGACGTCCTGCTCGCTCCCGCCGCCAGGAGCGCCCGCGTCGCCGCCTCGTTGCCGTACGCGGCCGCGTAGTGCAGCGGCGTTCGCAGCGACCGATCCTGGCGGGGAAAGTTAACAATTTATTTTTCTCTCTCTTCCCAATCGTTGCAAGGAAATTGCCTTTTGACTCCGCGTAAGGAAGCATTTCTTGATTCGGATTGATTGCTATATTTTCGCGTTTCCTGGTGTGTCAACCGCACTAGT